AAAATTGAGGACGTGAACTAAAAAGTTTTCTCTTGATATCTAATCATCTGCTCAAATTTTGGACCACATCGCTTGCTTCATCTCGGACTATGGATCTTTTCATAACGAAAAAAAAATCCCGATAGAACCCCGAAAAACAATGTGAGTCTGTCCTGAAGTTCTTCATTGTTGACGATCTTCCAATGCTACTTTCGTACCAGGTGGACTTAGAATCCCTTAATAGTTCCAGCATATCGTTCACTTGTATAAACGCCTTCAAGGTCGTATCTGCTTCAAGTGTCATAACTTACTTGTTCCTTGCAAGCAATAGCGTAGGCGCATTGATGAAAAAGTGATACTTGTGCAGCATGCCTCCATTGACATCCAAGTGAGGAAAAAGACATAGATTTGTATTCCAAATGCAAGTATTACCCTGTAATCCTCGTATGTAGTAGGAACCTTGGACGTGGAGTAGAACCGGAGAGCCTCAGTAGTGAGTAAAATTACTGCATCTCAAATCCAACCATTACAAAACAATGCCAGATACTATGCCCTTTCAAAACCAAAATTCTCAGAAAGCAGAGTAGAAGGTTCCCAGAGCTCCTATCTTCTAACAGTAGCACACTTGTTGAGATCTAGTTTCCAAACATATTACCCCACGGCTTCTGTGTCATTTGACTGCGAAGTTATTTTCGCAACATCTCTTGCTGTTAGGAGACGGGAACAAGCGTTGAGAACACCTTATTCGTGATCAGTTCAGAATGGCTAGAGGACTTCACGACAATAGGTTCGCCTACGAAAACAACTGGTGCAGATCTTCTTGAGCACATAATCTACCCCAGCTGTCCGCACAAGCAAAACTTCTGTCGACGCGTTGTCCTCTTAGCCGCTTGATAGACTGACCAAAGTGCGCAACAACTAAATGCTTGCAGCACGCGGCCTCCAAGCACGGCCGCATGCGGCAAGCATTTCAATCGCGCACAAGTCTGTCCATCAGGCTTCTTCACGGATCACGGGAAAGCACAACACATAAGACTGATGTCATACTTCCTTGAACCGGATCCAAACGGGATCAGCTGGTCCGCCATGCGCACGTGGCCACGGCCGGCAACATAATGTAGTAAACATAGTGGCTGGCTGTAGTCGCGTGCAGCGCCCGATCCAGATCCAATCTGGATCATGGGCAGTTATGACACCAACCTCACTCATTTGGTGCACCGAGATGAAGCAAGCGAATATGATCTTGTTTTACATAAACCAATTTCCCCAATATTAGAAGATCGAACGCTGTGTGTTTAAGAAAAAAATCTCCACGTTGTTGGCTGCAACCCAGCAATGTGTGTATGCGAAAACGCGTTGCGTACCACTATCGCGTCGTTCGGCGTTTGTCGAACGTCGCTCTCTGTCATCGCGTTTTCTGTCGCTACTGCGGCGAGAATCATCACGCTTCTGTGTCGATGTTGATTCAGTCTTCTTTCCTTCCTTAGCATGTGATTTTTCTGAGGTTACGGACGTTGTTTTCGCGTTTCTGCTCGCATCATCTTCTTTTTTTCTATCAGAGTCACGTTTAGTGCTTGTAGATGACTCGTTGGCCGTGTCTTTCTTGGCTGGAGCAGCAGTGGAGGCAGATTTCACGGCTGGCACTTTCGATCTATCCGCCTAAATGTGTAATTGAAGCTCTGAAATCAACATTTAGCGAGACGTGAGCAGTTGAGAAAGACTATGCTTCCATTTATGGAAAATCGTTCAAAGCACGATGAGATGCGGCCGTGACGAGTCCATAATATAATGGATATATAGCGCAATGTTGACATGATGATAGATATCTCAGCTGACGTCGAAATAACAGCCAACCACCGCATGCACGTCTCTCTACACTTCGGCAACTGGAGGAGTATCTCGTGTAAATCTACCTTCTCCACAGATATTGTTCGTCCGCGAATTTGCGTCTTGTGCAATGCAGCCGCGGCTTTCTCTGCAGC